CCATGTTCCACATGTTTTTTTGAAAAACAAGCCTAATGTTGTCGAGCTAACTTTTTATGCTCTACACGATGCACATATTGAAATCTTCGCGATCCTGTGTTCTGTATAAAGTGGGCGGACCTGAATGGAAGTACCCAAATATTAAGCTTTCTGCAAATCGAACTGATACAATTTATGTGAAACGTTTTTTTCATATGCTCCTTCTGGTTAAAAATCATTGTCAAAACTTGTATTTCGAAAACAGTCGATTTTTTTCATATAAATTCTTTATAAAAAAATAAAAATATGTTTATCTTATAATAAATCTAGCAATTTTGAATACACATAAATGATAAATAGCAAAACTATCAGAATCAAATTTAATGTGATTAAATATAAAGTGTTTTATGACTTTATGTTTTACTTTACTGTAGGTGCTAGAGAATAAGTATTTATATAATTTAACCTTTTGCTTGAAAATAAAATAGTAGAAAGCAAGAAAGAAGCCACCAGTAGTACCTAATAAAGTAGTGATGGGCCGTAAGACGTCATGTTTATCGTTTCTGTTCTTTCGTGCGTCGTGACTATACATGTACAGTATAGATCACGGATGACGGTAGAAGTAAAGAAGAGAGAAAAGATAACGTACGACGATAAGGAAATCTTTTTCGTTACCGTACGAAACGAAGGAATTACGTTTATTACGCGAAATTCTTAACGTAAGTGAATCATCCTTAACGAAATAACGTCAAAGTATATATAATACATTTATGTACAGACTACAGTCTGTATTTATGTATGTAAATAACTGAAGGGGGAATTGAAAGCTGATCGATTTCTCTGTTTTGATTAATAGGTAAAATTTAAGTCTTTTCCTTTTTTATATTTGTAACGGCGGCCATTTTTGACGGGAAAAATTGACGGATAGTGGGAAACAACCTAGAAAAGAAAAACATAAAGCAGTGATGTCATCATGAAAACACTGAAATGATATTAGTAAAAACATCACGTCAATCCAGTCCTCCGATTACAATTGACAGCAGAATGAATACAAACGTTGATTTCATATTCCGAACAGAGATGCATCACTTATCAGACCGATTGCTCAGTACTTGTGGCAACAATGAATATTTAAAGCAGGCACAGAATGGTAAGTTGATCATGTGTTTTTCAACCACATTTATTGCGACACACACAAAACTGATGATTGCAACGTGTTGAGAAAAGTGGAGAGAGATATGACATCCATGATCCGGACCATACTGAACTGCTAATAGCTGCCCATCCATCCATATTCGACTGGGAGGATAGAAACGTGCCTAATTTTACTCCGAAGAATCATCACTCAATGTGACATTACTACTCGTCTTCGAGAGTGAGTATCTACCTTGCCATTCTCCCTCCTTTATACTTCAGAGAGCCCCTTCATATAAAAGAGACCAATGATTCAAACTCTTGACAATGCATGTTTGTTTAGATGTGACACAATTTGAATCGCTTGCGAATGAAGTGATTCTTGACATCTTTGAATATTTCGATGCTTATGATATTCTCCACTCATTTCTTCGATTAAACTATCGTTTCGATGCACTACTTGGCAGCATACAGTTTGATCTGAACTTTCAACACATCAGTAAATCCAAATGTAACTTTATCTGCGAACACTTTCCATCAACAGCGCAAATTCGTTCTTTGTGTCTGTCTGACGCGACTTTCAGTTACGTTGACTTGTTCTTCACCCAGTCTCCCAAGAACACATTGGTAAATCTTCGCTCTTTATCCTTGTTCGATACCACACCAGAAAAAGTGATCAAAGTCGTAGTACCGCACTTGTCCTGTATGACACAACTATCGTCACTAAGCCTGGCTATGGCATTCAGCGGCCCCCAGCACCCGACGGCTCGTAATGCTTTTGAACAAGCCACTGCCATTTGCAAACTTGCAAACTATTTGAAAGTAAACAAGACTCTGACTAAACTTCATCTTGCAAATAACCAAATATCCGATAGAGGAGGTAAAGCCCTAGCAGAAGCACTAAAAGTAAACAACACTCTCACTCAACTTGATCTTGGATGGAACCAAATATACGCTAGAGGAGGTAAAGCACTAGCAGAAGCACTGAAAGTAAACAGCACTCTCACTCAACTTGATCTTGGATGGAACGAAATATCCGATAGAGGAGTTCAAGCGCTAGCAGACTCACTGAGAGTAAACAACATTCTCACTCAACTTGATCTTGGATGGAACCAAATATCCGATAGAGGAGGTGAAGCACTAGCAGAAGCACTGAGAGTAAACAACATTCTCACTCAACTTGATCTTGTAGGGAACCAAATATCCGATAGAGGAGGTGAAGCACTGGCAGAAGCACTGAAAGTAAACAACACTCTCATTCAACGAGTAAGCAAGCAGATGGAATAGTCGTTTTCTAGTATGTTTCGGAGGTAGCGTGGTTTTGTTTTTTGTGGAAGTTTCGGTTTCTCTGTGTGATTTTTTTCGCTAGTCGTTTTCTATTAACAACGACTTCAGCATTTAAAAAAGTAGCCCCAAAACAAAGAGTAGTTTATTTGAGTTTTTCAAACTCATCACGGTGCGCATTGCAGTTTTCATATTTTTGTACACTGAAGTACACAATCTAAATTGTGTTGATAATGAATATGCACATTGTTTAACTGAAAATCTTGTTGATTCAATATAAGTTTGAATAATATTTGTAATTTTATCATTATTGACTTCCAGTGATTTTTTGGAACTAAATATGTTCATCCTTGAGTTGTTGTTACTTTGTCAAATGTTTGTGATGCTTCACGTTGATGCCGGCTGATGTTTAAATAAATTTAATACAAAATCATAAAGTTGTTTAGGATAATGTTTTGAACGAACTAAACGTAACGAAATTTTAAATAATTTTAAATGAGTTATTATTTGTTGTACATGTCCATTTGTACCATGTGTTAAACGATTTAATATTCCTAATATATTTTCATAATTAAATGTAGTATAATGTGGCATTCTTCCATTTTGTTTAACACAATCATAAATGTGATTAAGACAATGAATATTTTGAACCATATGACGAACACCATATAAATTTTCAAAACCTTGAATAAATTTGTCTAATAATATTTTTAAATTTTGTAACTCATCATCACTAATTGTCATAGAACATGCTATATTCATTGCTACAAATTATTTGGTTATTGCTATAAATTATTTTTCCAGGATGTTCACATGCACATCCATATGGACCATTGTATACCTTTAAATTTTGAACCTTGGATTGTGCTGGTTTGTCATTTGAAGATAAAATTTAAAAAACATTCTGTTTTTTTGTTGATTTTAAATCATCAATAGAAAATTCTTGACCAGTTTCTAATTCATTTAATTCATCCACAATGGATGCTAATATTGATTGAAATATTTTTTGATCTGGTGTATGTGGACCTGGCCAAATGCCAGCAACTAATAAATTTTCCATTAAATATGATTCTTTATAATACATATCATTGATAGATAATAATACAGGCCACATGCTAATACTTGGATTTTGAGATGTCTTAACAAAAAACAGATAAATGTGCAAATGTTATCTAGACACATTTTTTATTTGTTCCGAATATAATCCCAAGACATTGGTAAGGGATTATGGATAAGTATGTACTGCTTTAGGAAGTACTTTTACGACTTCTGCTAAGCTTGTACGAAAATAACATATTTTCAACCAAAACAATAGAATAAGAATGTACACGCAAAGGATGTGGATGGCACCAACCACTGCGTGTGCTTTGGCAACCACATAAAAATGGGTACCGAATGAAGTTGCTCATCTGATGAAGGACTGTAGTTGTAATCAGGTAATTGTAGAGACCGAAAGCTGTTCTATCATGACAGAACATGCGACATTTCATGATCTAACTTTCTGTCAAAGAAAAACAATCTTTATTCTTTTTTCTGCAGTTTCTGTACTTAATATTTAAAATTAAGAGTTAACTTTTGACAGGTTTGGGATAGATCAACCCGTAATTAGTTCTAATGGGCTTTTAAATATCATCGTTGATTTTTTTTGCTCTGTGTGAGGTGACCGAAATAAAAATGAAGGCAGGTAGCCATATATTGATGAAAAGCCAATTTAGGTTATTCCCAAATTATTTAAAATCTTTCAACACATACTGACTGTACACTAAATTTAACTAAGTAGCTTTCGGTAAATATTAGGAACATCTTCAAAGCAGGAAAAAATCATGAAAGCCACAAGTGGACTTTTTAAAAACCGAAGATATCTTATTGAAACCGAATGCCGTTTCATTGGAAACTCCAAGATAACGTATTACCACCACCAACCAGCGTTTTCGATTAGGTAGGGGCAGGTGGAGGAATTCCGCTACCATGTCTGAAAAAAATAACTCCCTTCATTTTAAAAAGATTACTCCTACTAAAATAAAAATTACTCCGAAAAGTTAAAAGCCATTTTCTTTTTTGGTTAGCAGCTAAATTTTTAGAGTTGTTCCATAAAACTTCCGCGACCTCGCCAGAGTTATATCAAAAACGCTGCCATCAACAACAGATCTATTAACACCATCAATAAAAACACATGCATTACCATCACCGATAACGACACATATATTACTATCATCAATAACTGATGTATTAGCATCAACCACAACATACTGTCTTCATTTTGTGATTTTTTCATCTTCAGTTTTTAGCGGTAGAATTATTGTATAATCTTACCTGTATTCCATCTGTATTCATTGTAAAAGTAAAACAATCATCATTTTCTTGTTCATATATATCATTAATCATTTTGCTTCTTTTTTTAACTTGCTTTCTACCATCACACATTTTGTTATATAAATTTGGTATTACGAATAAATTTTTTAATTGTGATATAATTGATAGTTTATAAAATATATGCGGTGGAGTAACATTATAATCATTTTGTTCACATCCATTGGTTTGACATTGATCACGATTATTCATTATATTTTTACAATTATAACAATCATCGTCAACTGATACATTTGATAAATTATTACGTATAGCAACAAATGAACGAGGAACACTATTTATATTAATTACACTAAAATGTTTACAGTAATCATCCATTACTGCATCTAATTTTGTATAATAACATAGCTGCACAATGATCTAATTTATCAATAGTTGTTCTTCTTTTTATGTCCTATCAATTAAACAAAGTCAAAACTGTTTACACAGCTAAACTGATTTTACAGAATTGATGCTTGCATAGAGATTGACTTTAAACTAATGCAGTTTGGCCATGGCAATTAAAAGCTAAAAGTCCTATTCAAGCAAAGAGTTTAATCAGAAATGAGAACCATAGTGTCGGAGTCATAGAATACTTTTTCATCTGGAATGACCAAACCCAACTGATTATTTCATTTTTGGCCAGGAAGTAATATGCATTTACGCCACTTTTCGAACGATAGGTTTTGAGTTTGTCAACAAGGAAATAAACATAACGTACCATATCATCAACAGATTCATGTGTATGTGTATTTGTATCTTCAAATTGACCACTATCACGAACAATAACTTCATCAAAATTTTGACTAATATCTAAAAAATAGATTTGTTAGAGTAATTCTCACAGAGTAAAAATCAAACAATTGTATTGTGATGTTGTGCTTACTTTCAACTGATATATCTTTTGTTTCATCATTGATTTGATCACTTGTTGTAACATTAATACTAGTTATATTTGA